TTTTTTTATTTGTAGGTAACTGTTTAGCCAGGCAAACAAATACAGAATTTTATATTGATATTTAAGAAGTCTTAATAACTTATATTCTAGAACTTTTCATGCAATGTTATTGTTTGGCTTCTTGCAATATTCTATCMATTACAACATAAAGGTTCTACAAGAAGGTGAGCATTCTTGGGGCTTTTTTCCATTTTSTTTGACTTCTTATAGGAAATAAGAGGTAAAGGAAAGGACATATGATGTACATCAACATAGAATTCTATTAGTTCCTAAACATTGTAAATGAGAAGATGAACATTGATGTTTTGTTCTCTGCTTGGGAGACTGTGTGTAACTRCACCTTGGCCATTGGTGCATTTGTTATTGAGAACTATTAGCCAAGAGGTCTTTTGTTTATTTTGCCAGACAGATGGCAAATGATCCTGAGAAATGTGGTGGTGGTATGTATTATACTTGCTTGTTTTTCTTGTTCTGGATGTGGATGCAGAAATTCTGTGAGCCACTGGTCTAGCTGATACAATAGTCAGGACTCTTAAAAGAGTAGTCTCAGTATTATATCCATGTCTTGCTCATGTAGAAGTAAAGACAAGATGCAAGGGGTGTGGTTTAATCACACCTCAGTTTAGTCAGCTCAACCATCTTGGATTTATGGGCATAAATTTGTACAGTGCMGATCTAGATCCTTTCTTTAGTCATTTCATTCTGATGTAGGGTTGCTATCAGTCCCCTGTTCCCATACAGCTATCCCCAGCCAGTTACTGGGACTCTCCTACATTACTTTTAATCCAAATTATAGSATGTCTGGAAAAGAGTTTGTTTCTGAGGTTAATAGCTGAAGTACACCAAAGACATAATTCTTAGTGCATTTAAGAGTCAGTTTCTCCTAACTTCATGTTCCATTTCAGATTTTTTGATCCAGCTTAAAGATGAGTTTTAAAGTGAAATAATAGAGTTCCTTGTTTCTGTGGTTGTGGTAGAAGGCATGCTAGAGCTATCATTCCATTATATCACCTTACTGCCTCAAAAAAAAAATTAGTTTCTTTTCTTTATTTAACTTCAACCTCCATGTCTTCAGGTTCTGGGGCACAACTTTTTACTCTTGGCAATAAAGTAAATATTGAATTAGTTGTCTTACACAGCTTTAGTCTTATACATTGTTTTGTTATTGTTTGAGCAAAATATTATCTGCTTAAGTGAAAGGTAGCATTGATTTTACTATTAAATCTGTATAGAACAACTACTTATAAGTTATGAGAGAATACCTGGGCAGATTTCTGGGAACAGAATATATCAACTGTCTGGGAGGGAGAAAGCTGTTTGATCATCAGTTTTGATTCTACTGTTTTGTGACTTCATTTACAGAAAAAATTAACCTTCCCAACAGAGTCTTCCTCAATTAACTTGCCCTTGCCCACAAAATCTGAAATTATCTTCTTTTGAATTATTCTTCCAACAGCAAGCTCCTTTTCTTGTACCTAGATGCAGTAGACATTTCTTAGACACATTTTATTTAAATAAATTGAAAAAATACTGGAGAAGTACTGTAGAGAAATAATTTTGTTGCTTTTCTAGCATATAATGARAACTGATATTATGATTGATATAATGCACTAATTAGTAGTTAATTAAACATGTTTTCTCTAGAAACTTCATGAGATAAATACTCTTACAGTAGTAAGAATTGAAATCCCAATAAAAAGTAATCTTCACTTCCAAATTTGAATAATGTGTTCCATAATATAATTACSACAAACCTGTGTAAATCATTCAAACTTCTTGAAAAAGTAGTTAGTGTTGATTGTTAGGAGCCATGCATTTTGCACCTGTACATCATAAATTCACTATCATTTGCTCCTTTTCCTACTTAAAAAGAAAAAAAAAAAAAAGGAACAAAAAGACCCCTGCTTAAAAAAGAAGGGAAAACAAAAGAAAAGACCTTGGAAAGCATCAGAGCCTTTTGTTTGATGTGTGGAACGAGATTAATGAAAATGAACTACTTTATTAGTTTTTAAATAGCTGGCATGAGCCAGTGCTGCTGTCTGTACTTACCACAACTTTATGTACAGAACATGTTTTGAAAACATGGTAATTTTAGAATTAAGATTGTTTCTTTGGGGGGATCTCAGATTCATGAGTATGTTTCTTCTGTGTAAGGACAGTTAGCTAGACAATGCCAAAACACAATAGGATTTTATATTTTAATGAGTAAAAGGGAGGTATTCCACATATTCAGCTCTTTTCCAGATGTGTAAGCTTTGTAGCCCCTTCACTTACTCTAGCATGGCATTGTGACAATTTGTCCAGAATGTCTAAAATAGGCAAATATTGGAAGGGAATTTGTGTTTTCAAATATCAAAAATTTATTCTAATTTTATCACTATTTATATTAGTAAAAATCCCAGTTAGTTTCTCCTCTCATACTTCTGGAAGTAATGGGGTTTAGTTGCACTGTTTGAAGAAAGGAAAAACACCTAAGTGAATATTTTTTTAAATCTTGAATAATTTTAAATGTCGTTCCTAGTCAACAGTACATGCTCAAATTAATCATGGAATTTTAATGAATGGATATCAAATTATTTTCATGTAGTAAGACACACCTGCAGCTTGTTTGAATACCAGGTTTAAGGTGTTAATAATCAAAATTGCTAAGTCACATTTTCTTAATGGTATTTGAKAGGTGGAAACTTCACAAAATGGTTTTCTACTGGCACCGAATGCTTTGGATGGTGGGAAAGATGGAAAACAGTCTCTTWAGGCATAGGATTGTCTTTTCTGTCTGTCATACACCCGTTTATACAATAAAAAGATGTACATTAATTGATTGAAGTTGCTGTGTCATCATACAGTAGGATGTTTATTTACCTAAAGTCTCTAGGGTGAATTATAGAAGAACAAATCAATTTGGGTATTTCACACTTGCAAATACGTGTTTACAATACATTTTGTTTGATTTTGAAGGCTAAACATTCAGGACAATGTGGAAATGATCAAGGTCCGTAAACAGCTGGCTGAAAAAAGCAATGCTCTTTCAGCAATGGAAGGAAAATTTCTCCAGATTCAAGAGGTAATTGCAATTTGATGAGTAACATTCCTGTACACTTGTCACATAAGCGTGCTAAACAGAAAAAAAAAATGCACACAGTTCTTCTTTCAGAGTCAATACTGAGTAAATGAAAATGAATCACATACTGCATTACACTCGAACTACTCCAGATGGAGTAGGGATTTTTGGTCTTAATTTCTCTTTTTTCTCAGAAGGATCTAGTAGGTCTTAGTGATCTCATCTGCAAAGTCATRCCAAGCAGATTATGAAGAATGAACTGAATTGTCTGGGTATGGAAAGAGATCCCTGTTTAAAGAGAGGACTTTGACTTAGATGTACTGATTTACCAAAAAGCAGTACCGAGCCACTTCCACTTTATTACCCTTTGCTAAAGTTTGGGCAGTTTGGCTGTTTTGTTCTGGCATTAGGATTTAAGCCCTGTTCATATGTTCATGGAAATTATTTTAGGGGGCTACTTTAAGTAACAATTTTCTTTATAAAAAGAACATTTTTGCGAAAATGTCTCCAGAACACACAATTTCATGGTAGCTTATCTGTACACTTTAATTATACAGCTTTTTTCTGCTTTTTCCTGTATGTATTTGGAGAACTGCATGTGCATACAGAAGTGGTATGATAATAGCTTGGAAATGGGAGAGTTCCTCGAAGGAGGAATCCTAACTGCARTAGAGCTTTGTAAAGTATCTAGCCTTATGAAGTGGAAGCGATAGGTTTTCTTATAAACTCTTAACTTCTGTTTGCTTGCTATTAGCATGCTAAATAACATTTGTGCCATTAGGTTTTTGTTCCAGTTCCTTTTTTTCCCATGTCTGTTTCTGCATTTTGTTTTGCTTTGCCTCCCTCCCCCTCTTCAGAGTAATTCCTGTATTTTCTCTGCCAAACTGAGAAAAGCATTAACATGGCTTTTTGTCTTCTTTAAGTGATCCACAAACTGCTCCATTTTAGATCTCTCCCAGTTTTGGCTAAGGATGGGAGGGGCAGAGCCTGGAGATGTGTGATCATGCCCAGGTTACTATTACCACCAAAGTTATCACTGCAGGGTGTGGCTTTAGGKGGAAGGAAAAGGCAATGTGCAGAGGAACTACGGCCATTTTGTTCCTTTTTACGGGGAGCAGGCGGATCAGTGGTTTGGCATGGATGGTCCAACTTGAAGGGTTTGTCCACCATTGTTTTTCCTTGTCTTGGACTTGGGGGGAAAAGACACCAGCTGCTGTATTGTCTRCCATTCCATCCTTGTCTTCTGAAGCCATTTGGTGCCAGCTGTGGTAGCATTGGGTAGGTCAAGACTTCTGTGAGCATTGTTGCATGTAATCACCCTCTTTTGCACACTGTTGTTATTTATATTGTTGCTGTTACTGTTTTTCGTAGCTCAGTGTTGTTTTCAAGTAAATTTATTTCAACCCATTGCCTTCTGTCCCTCTGTCACTGGAGGGGGTGGAGGGAATGGGATTGGCTGCTTGAAGGCTAATTTCCAGCTGGTTTTAAGTTACAACAAAATAATGGATGACCTTTTGGTAATGTGCAGTGAACATCAAGTACTTATGCCACTTCCTTGGCAGCAGCTGAATAGARCCATGTGCCTAGGATTCAAACTGTTACTTGAAGATATTGTTTGAAATATACRCAGTGTAAGTTGCATTTTTAGGAACGATGAGTGTGTTTTCTCTCTTTTTTTTATTACAAGAGAGTGGGTTCTATCATTTTCCCRTTTCCAATAATCTGGATGTTTAAAACATGTCTACTAACTGTGAACTCCAAAATTTTTAGTTGGCACATAAAGTAGTTACCAACACAGCACTTCAGTATTTTATGTTTATCTTGATAKGTTTTTTGTCGATATATTGAGTTCATTCTCATTTATTTTGAATTTCTACCAATTAMATTTACTTTGAATTTACTTTTTTAAATTTACTTTGAATTTCTACCCATATAATTTGCCTATGTTTATCTTTGAACTTGAGTCAGCCCAAAGTGAGAAATTACAGAATGAAAAGAGCCTATAATCCTAGTCCATCTAATGTAGAAGTTGAGCTTACTACCAAAYAAATTTACAGGGCAGTTTTATTGCTAAAGACTTTTAATATAACCAGGTGAATGATGGAATTGTGCAATCTGTTTAGAAGAACAAAGGATACTAAAACTGTTGGATTATGTAATTGATTCTATTAATCAATTTTGTATGTTTATTGACTGTAATTAGAGACTGAGCATTCAAGAYTTCATTATTTGTAATTTGAAATATGCTAATCTGTGCAATTACAATTTCCTTGAACAATCAGTACAGTTTCACAGCAATAAGAGCCATTAATTTTCATTTGTGTAATATTTCTAGGAAGTCTGTATCAATTTTCTTTACCAGTTGAGACACTGGATCAAGTGGCTCAGCAGATTGTGAAATGTCTCAACCCTAGAGTGTTCAAAGCTGGGTTGGATGAGGCATTGAGCAACCTTGTTGGAGTGGAAGGTGTCCCTCAGCAGCCAGGATTGGTACTGGATCATCTTTTAAGTCATATCCAACCCATAACATTCTGTGATTCTTTAAATGAATTCTTTCTAACTGACAGCAGTATCAAGACATGCTCCCCAAAGAAATAAAATTTCAGACTAGAAACTTTAAACTAAAATTATCATCCCAKTTGTTGGCATGAGCTGTATCTTCCGCCACTGTAGGATAGCAGGATAGAAAACAATTTGGGCATAATGGAAAAAAATGCACAAAGAAAAAACAGAAATAAAAAAATGTTAAAGAAAAGAATGCATTTTAAAAAAAAAAAAAAAAAAAAAACTAGGGTGAACTTATGGTCAAAATGGTCAAGAGAGTAGGAGAGACACTGAAGGAATAGAATTAAGTGGAAGCAAGAAGGTTTTTCAGAAACAGATACTTTTAGTGAGATGTTTCAGTGGAACAAATRCTAATTGGTTTCAGCTGTTTTGGAAATTAAGGAAAGAGATGAGAATGAAATGGTGTATGAAAGACAGCTTTGCCAAGATGGGTTTTTGTTTTTCTTTGTGTATTGTGTGTTCAAGTGACACAAATTACTGACATGGAAGAGAATTTTGGGGAAAAATAGAAACTGCGGGATGGGAAAGAAAGAATGAGTTTGCTTGGACAGTTGGAAGGGTTAGAGACTACGGGTTCTGATTTTGATAAAAGAAAAAATTTTGGAAATAATATGAAAAGAGTGAAAAAMCCCATTATTTTTAAGGTGTCATTTTTTTGTAATTATTGAAATAGCATTCACAGATAGAGGACAGAGCAAGAGGAGCGCTGAAGAAAGACTGTTAAAAATTGATGAGTAGTATACTTATTTAAGTTTCTGAAATAAGATTGACTGCTAGTATTATTTATTCTCCATGATTTTTATCTTACTGAGAAATGAAATATAAAATACTGAGGATMAAGTTGGTGATTTGTTTTTCATTGGTTTTTTGTTCATTTCCAGACTATTAAGATTGCATGTGAATGTAAACAATTTTTACAGGATTCACATTTAGCTTCTCCATTTAAATACTCTGGAGGAATATTCTATGGAAAAAAAGGAAGCTAACCACTTTCTGTGTAAAAGCATTAAACATTGGCTGTATTCACATATGTATTTGGCATAAATTCTCATACAATTATTTTATTAAGCAGGAGATTGGCCTTTCAACTATTTTGTCTCAAGTCATAATTTGAATATGATTTACATTGAAATTTATAATGAATGAGGCTTATTACAGGATTGTGGAATTAGGCAGTGTAATATTAACTAATATACTGGAAATAGGGGCTCTATCAGCATCCTTCATTTAATATTATTATTTAATAACTTGAATGTACTTTACTGTAATCCATRAAAGTAAATTAAAATGTAAAGGAAACCAGAAGTCCCTTATTAAAGTGTTTCTAGCTGGGAAATAGAACTGAATGCATGAGSGTTGTGAAAGTATTATGTATCTRTAATTATATTWGTATATGTATAAAMRTTTATATGTGTGTRTATATATATATGTATATAAATATAAGGGTTAAGAGAGCTGTGGCAAGTTCTGTGATTAGCATAGATGTGGGCAACATTGATTTTTGCTTGCTGCTGCAGTTGTTTTTGGTTAGTATGTCCAACCACTGTAGCCACTGCAAGATCTTTTAATTGCTTTTCAGATACATTTCTTCATCATTTTCATCATGAGTAAACTGAGGGTTTCATGTTCATGAGGGCAACCAGAAGGTCACCTTCTCTGGCCATGTGGAGTGAAACATAATTCAAGAATGTGTCCTGCTGACTACATTGAGAGCATCTATTCAGTAGTGCTGTGAGAGCCCCCTGTTGAAATATACAGTGTGGGAACATTCTGCTAGGTGGGATTTTGACACTCCTTCCTTCCTTTTCATAGAACCTAAAGAACTTGAAGACCAACCATGATGCTTTATTAGCAAAAGGTGATGAACTGAATATACAGCTTAAAGAGGAGCGGTTAAAGTGCTTCCATCTTCAAAAAGAATTGCAGTCAGTAACTATTTCAAACAGAAGGACAGAAGAGGTGAGACTGTGTTCAAGAGATCTTGAACCTGCTTGAGGTAGTACATATAGATAAGGGAAGAGTTAATGATGGCATACCTTTTAATTGTGGAAATGTGAATAGATGTTTCCAATACATTTAGAAGACTGACCTAGTAATAAATATATACTTYTATCCCATTTTAAAGCAAAAGTAGTGGCTGCTGCTTGCATTCAATAGAATTAGCCTGGGCCAATTAGTCCCTGCATCAGTGTTTGGATAATATTTGAGGTTAGAGCATAGGATTTCATGTCAATTCTGATGCTGAATAAGTGGTTTCTTAGCTGAAAGAAAATCGTACTTGATTTGTTGGTAGTAGTTTTTTTTTTTATATTCTTTCAATCTTATTTCATTCCAGTACTGTATCGTTATATCTGWTTTAGTTCAAATCAATTACTTCTGTTTCTTTGTCTAGCGGCTCTCAGACTAGTGTCATCCATATTTAGGGCTAAAACTCAAGTGGTTTATTCCTCATTCTCTTTGGTGCATGAGGAGTAAGAGTCTGCAAGCTTACTTGTTTTTTTCTTACATTTTGTAGTAACTTAAATTTAGTTTTACCACCTGGTTTACCYATTTTAAATGTATTCTGCATAAACCAAGTTTACCAAACCTTTAAACTATTGTCATGTATGTAGGTATCTTCTTGGTAACTCACAACTTTAAAGTTATATTTTGCTTTAGTGAATATTTTGAAAACAAGGATGTATTGTCGGTAATGCACTTAGGCTATTAGATTTTTATATTATTTTGCAGGAGAGAATGTGATTAGATACTGTTGCACCACTGCAACATGCTAGTCCCACTCCATATAAACATGAAAAAGATTGTTTGGGCCAAATGTAAATTCATGTGATTAAAAAAGATGTTCTTTTGAAGCTTCTAAGAGGCTGATGTATACCCTGAGATGTGCTCAGTTAGATAGAGCAGAGTGTTAATACTGCCAAGGTTTCATTCCCAAATGGGACATTCACTTTAAAATTGGACTTGATGATCTTTGTGGGTCCCTTCCAACTCAGAATATTCTTTGATTCTGATTTGGTGTAAAAAGAACAAATGATAGCTTGACAATGCTTACAAATTATTAAGTGTTTGTCTTCACACATTCATTGYAATTTCTTTTTGTGCTCTGCGTCAAATGTAACTTCCTTCTTCATTTTAGTTACAGGAAAGAATAAATGATCTAGAAAAAGAGAATGAACTCTTAAAAGAAAACTATGATAAGCTGCATAACAGGTAAGTTATGTTTTTTTATATATAAAAATTTATGTTCCTGTCCTGTTGAATAGGTCTTCATACACTTCATACACRTGCTGGAATGTGCATATTGAGTGTTTGTGCACACGTGTAACTACGTTCRTGCTGCAAGCTTATCATATCAGTAAGGGTGTATGGAAACATTTGAAAGTGTATATTTAAACATTTAAATCTTGAATTTATGGTGTTCTGCTTGTATGTCGTCTSTCCTATTGAAATGGACCAACTTGTTCTAATACTCTTGAAATAGTAGGTTACTATGAAAAATGCAATTAAAGAGGAGTCTCTTTATTTTGAACATAAATGTAAGAAGTTCGTATTTGAATTCCTCATTTTCTTTAGAGTTATTGTTGAAAGAATACATCTAAGTAAATACATGGTAATTTGGGTTTGTTTTGGTTTTTGGGATTGTTTTTTGGTGTTTTTTTTAAACACAAGGCTGTTTGAATTTTTATCTTAAGTTCTTCTAGCACTTCTCAACAAACCTATATAAAGTCTGATATTTAACAGCTTTTCCACTATTTTTTTGAGGTGTGGTTTGTTTTACAATAGCTATCATTTCACTTCTACTGATATAGAAAAGAAGTAATTCTAGCCAATTGCCACAATCATGTGAAAGAAAAAAATTACGTCCAAATGAGCTTTTCCTTTATTATGAAACTGATTTTTTGTACTAAAGAGAGTTAGAAAATAAGACACGTGTCTTAGAGTTACCTACTTTCTGAGCAGATATTAAAATGCTTAAAGTCTTCCCTTTTATTGAAATTATTTCTTCTCTTAAAGTGTTTGGCTTGTCAGTGTGATATCTGTCAAAAAAATACCAATGACTAAACACTATCTGAGTGATATCAAATTTTGTTTATAGTATTCTTGCAATATTTGTTAGACTTCTTTCACTGTCTGTGGTGAAATTAAAAATTATAGGAGTTCAAATAGCTTAAAATAGTTTTTTATGAGGTGTAACAGTTGTATAATCACAATATTCGGAGTCTTGTATGGGGGCAGTTGATAGGWTGTCTGTCACTTAAAGTAATTGTTGTGGGTTTCTCCAGAATTCGATCATATTATAAATATTTCTGATTATGATTTCTTTTTCTCTTTTATCATTATGGTAAATAAGAAAAATAACTCTTACTAACAGRTCAACTTAAAATATTTCTGTTCTACTTAAGTTCATAGTGAGAGAATTTAAAAAGATGTCTAAATAAATGCAGATAAGCTTTGTTACTATGCAGTAACCTACTGCAGATATGGCTGTTCTTTCATCTAAAATTATCTGTCTTCTCACATAGTCCCATTTAAATGTTGATTCATGTTTCATCATTCCATGTTGTTATTTAACCCCAGCCAGCTCCCAAGCACCTCAGAGAGGCTTGCTCTCCCCAACAGTGGTTTGGGGAGAGAATTGAAAGGSTAAAAGCTTGTTATGGGTTAAGGTTTCTCCTTTTGTTTCCTTTCTTGGGGAGTTTTTCTTTCTCATTTTGTTGCTGGGATACACTGATTGCCAAGTCATTCTTTTAATGGCTGGGCAATTGGAGAAGACAAAAAGCCCCACCCGCCCCACCCAAAGGATCTCCCTGAGCACTCCTGCCTGGCAGGTTTTTTGTTTTTGGGGTTTTTTTTTTTCTATCCCTCTTTTTGGAGAGGGGAAAGTTCTTGCAGGAGTTTTGGGCTCGGGGAGGGTGTGTTTGTAGGTGGCTGAGGGTAACTTCTCTTTCTGCCCTGGTTGGTTCGGAGGAGGAAGGTAGACCTGCWGCCTGCRKGGGGAGAGCTTGACTGCTCTTTTCTGCAGAGCCCAGCATCTCTGCTCTTTAGTTCCTGTTTGCTGCACTGTGATCTTCTGCCCCTGTGCCTTGCCAAGGATCCCTGAGATTCCAGCTGCAGTGGTTGAGTTCTGCCACATCCCATCTAGCAGCCACAGGATTCTGCTWGTCTCTTTTCTCATCTGGCCATTCTGGGGTTTCTTGCTGTCCAGAGGAGCACTGAGATTGGCRTTTCCGCTGTGAGTTTGCAGAAGAACTTTTCTCCATCCACCTCTGCTGGTTTGTATCCACCATTGGCGAGGTGGGAGATATGAACGTAGCCAGGGCCCGCGCCACAGCGCCCCCCGCAGCCGCCAGGGAATCATCGCGCCCGCCCTACCCAGCCAGGAGCCAACAGCGCCCCTGCCGGCTGGGACTGTAACTGCACCAAAGGGGAGGGTGTGTCTCTGTGTGAGGCTGTCATTGGGTTTGTGGTTGAGTTGGTTKTTGGTATCATTGTTATTACTTGCTTCACCTTGTTATACATATTAGTAAAAACTGTTATTCCCTTTTTACCCATATTCTTGCCTAAAAACCTGTGATTTTCATTTTTCAAAGCCATAATAATTCAGAGGGAAGCGGGTCATATCCACCACTCCAAGAAGAGTCCCTGCTTTCATTGGCAAACACCTGTCTTGCAAATCAAGACAAAGCTAGAAAAATTGTAGATTGATATAAAGACARTTTAATAGGGAAAGCAGATCCGTGCACACAGGCAAAGCAAAACAAGGAATTAATTCCTGGCTTTCTAGGGGCAGGAGGGTGTTCAACACCTTCAGGGCCCCATCACATGTAACRGTKACTTGGGAGGACAAACRCTATCACTCCAAATGTCCTCTCTTCCTCCACCTTCCTCTCACTTTTATATACTAAGGAATATTCCTTTGGACAGCYCTCTCAGCTGTGTGGCCTCCCAATTTCCCACACACCTCTAGCCCTCTCTCCAGAATGGCAGTATGAAAACCAGAAAAGGCCTTGATTATCACAAAGCCCTGCTCAGCAATAGCAAAAGCATCTCTGTATTATCATCCCTGTGTTCAACACAAATCCAAAACACAGCCCCATGCCAAACACGAGGAAAAATAAATTACCTCTGCCACGGCCAAAACCATCACATTGAGTAATGAGAAATTAGAAAAATAATAATTTCATTGTAAACACTGTTTAATGGCCAGGTTTTTCAGTTTCCCATTTTCACAATGCAACTTTTATCTACCACAGCTTACTTGTTGCTAGTGGTGGGTAGGTAAGTGTCCACAGGTGCTAGATAATAAATACTTTTTTTTTTTAATAGAGGAAAAGAGGCACAAACCCATCCTTTGCTGATGTTATTTTGGGGAAGTTGATAGCAATTTTGCTTAAGCCAGAACTGGACCTGAAGAGTTTGCAAAGAACAAGTGTGAATGTGTCAGTTGACTCTTATTATTTACTCGGTGCTCAAGAAAATAATACATTTGGATAAAAGGTTTGGAGGAGTGGCTTTCATATGACCTTGGAAGCAAATAAATTCTTTCAAAGGAAACAGTGCGCCATGTGGTTGACTATTATAGTTTATCCAGATGGTTTCAACTCCAATGAAATAAAGTAAATGCAAAAGAAATTCCACATGAATCTTAAAATTCAAATGAAGAAAGCAACACAAGTGGACTCAATTCAAACCAACATAAACATTAGCATTATATAAGCTTGGATGAAGCCTGTCTTCTAAAATGTTCTTCATTTAAATCTTGAACTACTATCCTAGTAACTCCTAATGTTGTTTCTGACAGTATAGTCTTCTGAAAAACTGAATCGGATGTAGTTACATCTTTATGTGTGGTTATTGTACCTAAAGCTAATAAATGCATGTATTGTTGTCATTAAAACTTGAAAGCATTTTCAAAAGTGTGAAAACTAAGGGTATTTGATACATTTTTATATTATTTATTCTTCCCTTGTGGGACCAATCAGAACTTACATTTACACATTTAGAGAACACACTGTATCTTTTCTATACCTAGGCAGTACTATGGAATGATARTGGGTGCAGAGCACTATTTTCTTCAAAATTATAGGAGAGTGAAATATGTATTACTGCGGGACTTAGAAGCATTCCTTAAATTCATGCATGCTGTAAAAGACAATCTGTCAAAATATAAGATGGTCTGTGCCTAGAGAAATGTATTAAACAGGTCAGTTGTCTTATGAGAAATGACAAAATACAGGGAAATAAAACTGTTTTTAAGAAGACCACAAATCTGGAAATCTTGCCATATACTTCAGAGTCTGCAATTCATGCTGTAATAGTTTTTGTTTTTTTTTTTTCTTTAACCGCAAGGTTTTTCTTCAAGTATTTTTGATATAACTGCGCTTAAAAGTACTCAGAACCACTGCATGTAATCACCCATGAGAGCAGGCCATTCTCTTTGAATCCTCAGGTACAGTCTACAAGGCACTGTGGGCTGTCCCTTATGCAACACATCTTTCTTCTCCTTTGGTTTGTTGGTTGAGTCTTGTTACATTGATCTCTGAGAGAGATAGGTTGCAAAATAGACTCCAGAAGATTTTTTAATACATTTGTATATCTAAAATATAATTTTTGTTAACTGGTGAGCTTCAGCACCRGAAAGAGTTGAGGAACTGACTCCTTATTTAAAAAAACCTGCAATTTAAGATTTTTTCACAGAATATATAAGTGAATAAAGTGATTTATGATTTATTAAGATGGCCATTTTTCTAGTCAATAAGAATGCAATCATTGAACAATAATAATATGAAGAGCAGAGTACTCRCTGTCTAAGTTATAGGAAAGCATATTACATTGCTTTTTCTTTTTACCTGCAAGGAATTATACTGCAAATTATATAATTATTTTAATTTCWATCTGAGTTACACATTTTGTTGTGGTTTCAGTAATTCTAATTCTGTATTCATGCATTCCTTATTGYAAGTAGATTGGCAATTTACAAGTAAATAATGTTAAAGGCAAAATAGTTATTCTGATTTCTTCTCCCACATCTGTTTTTTTATTTCTTYGAATAAGAGCAAGATTACTTTATATGCACTTCTTAATCAGTATCAGAATTGTTGTTTTACAGTGTGAGAAAACTGTAAAACTTTGTGATCAACATTTCTTTGAATGGGCAACTGACCTTATGTTCTCCATGTTTCACAAATTTAAAAGAAATCAGGTGGATGATCACAATTCTCTGCATGAAGAGGGTTTGTACACAGAAAAAATGGCTTTGTAGCTGTCACTTGCTGWGGTTTGCAGTTGTGGATTATTCTGGGATATGCATCTGAATTCCTTTTCTATTCTGCAAGTGTTTCTATTCCGCATGCTACAAACTTTTTAACATTGGATCTCTAAATTAAGGCCAATTCTTTTGCTCATCCTACAGACTTTCATGTTTTTTAACTGCAGCCTGAGAGAGCCACCTTGGTTTCAAGAGCAGCAGTGTATTTACGTAGTCCCTCAGCTACAATGACAGTGGTCTCTGTGCCATGAAAAGGTTTTTTTTCTTTAATATTTTCTGATGAAGATGATTTCTAAAGGTTTTKCATGTAACATATGTTTTATCGCAGTGTCTTCAGTCTGCCCCGTGAACAGCAATGGAAATCAAAGGAACAGCAACTGAAACTGCAGATTGCTAAACTAGAGACAGCTATGAAATCTGATTTAGCAGACAAAAATGAAATCCTTGACAAGATCAAAGTAGAAAGAGGTATATTTCTGATAAAAAGCCTARTATTTTCTCAAAGTGTGAGATGACACCCATGCTGGAGTTGAGATAYACTGCCCAGAAAAATGTAGTTTCTGTTGTTGGTGTTTTCAAAGCTGCGTTTTCAGTGTGAATTTGCTAAATACACCGAAGTAATTACTATCTATTAAGTGCAGAAATTGACCCAATACAGAATATTGACTGAATGTAGCTCATAAAATTTCAGCTGTATTCATTCTTCTTCTATGGGTTTAATATTTACTCTTTATGCAGTATTTCTTCTCTTTGCTACATTGAAAGTCCTTATGGAAAAGAGACCCATCTGACAGTCCCTCTCAAATTATAAACCTCTATTCTGTTCTCTGTACAAAGCTACATGAATCCCATATAGGCCCTTGACAATGTTTARTTGTTTTTCAATGTTATTAATTCAGGATTCTTTTATATTTTCAGTATATACTACTTTTTATTTACAGCATTTTACATTTAAAATAACAGTTTTCTTTTAATCTAGTTAACAGATTATTTCAYAGGTGTTTTCCTCATGCTGTAGTACAACTTCTTAGTGAATACTGATCTTGCAATCTCTTTTTTAATGTAACACTGATTACCRTAGCAAGTTTACAATTACCRTATGAAGTTTACAAAAGACGAGCAYAGGCAGAAAGTGGAAATAGTTAATTTAGAGATGATTCTTCAAATGTGTATTTTTAAAAGGTGTATTTCTATGAACAATTTAATGGAATGAAATGGGCCAACTTGAGAATAATTCTTATGATTATGGCTTGAGTTCAGCATGTGGTTACCATTAGAATTCTTAGTAGCTCTGCTGATTACAAACACCAGATTGAATATTTAAACATTTTATTTGACCACAGCACGTGTTTGCAAAATTAGCCTTAACTGATACTAACATAAAGATGCTTTAAGCTACATTAATATGAAGTTACGACATATTAACTGTTGTTACTTATAGCTTGATTATGAAAAAGACTGGTACTGCATCATCTATCCTTCCTGTGGGCATTATGTTTAACTGTCAAGTGTTTACCATCCCTTCCCCARGTAGCTTGTTGTACTCTTAAACTGAATCACCAGGGTACTACACTTTCAATTTCTATTGAATTGACTTGCTGCACCCAGAGTAGATGTTCTAATACCCTTCAGGCCTCTCTATCTAGGATYTGATTACAGCTCTGTCTTTCACAAAACATGGGCAGTATGACTTTCTTCAGTCATGTACATCATGTACCTATCTGCCTTTGCTGCAYGTTCCTTTTGAAACTTCAGCCGGAGAATTGAAATTAATGCTTGTCTTAACCTACTCCCTAGAACTAGAGTACAAATAATGTCTTWTCTACCCTCTCTAGTTTGGCATATGAATCTTTTACTAAATTTCTTTTCCAGGTGTGAGAAAGATGGTACAATAAATGAAGCCTTGAAAATTCTTAATGCTACAGGAGATTAACATCTTGACATTTTCTGTGTCCTYCTTCAGTATTTTCCTTTTAGAATKACCTTGTAATTTGATCTGAATGTTTTAGTTTCTGGCCATAACATCATAATGTACTTTGTAGTACTTAAGTATATTTAGACAGAAAACTGARTAACACTGACTACATTTTCCTTTTTTTTTATATTGTATTTGCAGAAACTTCATCACCCTTCTACCTGCCCCATTTCCGTTAGACATTTATTCTTGTGCTTCTTGTCTTACCAGCATCTTCCACATTCTCAGCCATAAATAATAATAGCTGTTTCATTCGTGTTCATTGAATCTTACTAGCATTAGTGTTTCATGAAAGTGTTAAAAGACTTAGGTAAGCTAATACAAAATCTAAATTGAAACAATTCCTATAGCAAGGATTGGTGTCACTTACCTCATAAATTCATACAGTATATGTGTTTACTTAGCAATAGCTGTCTAAATAATTCTTATTTTAAATTAATAAAATCTCATGCATTGCTGCATTTGTTGTTCTTAGTTATAGTACTGTTTCACTTATTTACTAAGTACAGGTTTTTTTACGGTTGTCTGAATAGAGAAGTATTTATTGTCAGTAAAAGTTGATGTGAAATATATTACTAAAATTTTATTTCACTCTCTAGGACTTTTTATTCTGTCCATTAAAYGATCATAAAAAGTAACATAAATACAGATTCTTTTTTTTTCCATGGGCTAACGAAGAAGTCAGTCATGTTGCCCCTAGACAAACAGAAGGTTTGGCAAAGGAGAGGGGAAGGACAAATGCTCTTGTACATGATGACAGATAGATTATGGTATAGGAAGCAAAATAGGTCTCAGTTGTCTTTGAAGTATGTAATTTTCATATATATGGAAGAACAGTGACTTTTCTTCTCCCCTGCCACCTGGTTGGTACTGACTGATCGATAAGAGCTCTTGCTGTGAACTTATATGGGAGGTGAACAAATGTGGAGGCTTCTGCTGACTAAGACTTATTATTTTTGTGTTTTGTGAATGTGAACAAATGTTTAATGGGGAAGATACTCCTGTGCAAGGTTATTCCTGTTCTGATTTTGCATCTATTGGCACAATACATGWGATTACAGCTGAGAACAGTGTTAGTACAGTCACTTAGATATCCTACAAGGCCCTTATGAACACAGAGRCCTATCTTCAGCTCTAGTCTGCTCCACTCATGGGTCTGTAGCCTTTCATGCAAGTTACTGTGACAGTGTTTTCCTGTGGGGCAGTGGCTTTCCCCCTGTCTTGTGAGGTTACTATCTGGCATGGTTTAAGCCCAGCTGAAAATTCAGCCCCAGGTAGCTTCACTCCTCCCCTATTCCCTCTGATGAGAGAGAGAAAAAGGCAGAGATCCCGAGCTCMAATAAGAGCAAGGTACTGGAAATGGCAAGGAGATAAGAAAATTAACAGTAAACAGTAACATTAATAACAAAAGCATACTGAAAAAGAGGGTGATTTTCATACAAAAAATGCTCACTGACTTGCCCTGCGCTTCGGGTCCCAAGACAAAGAACAAAATGGCTCTTCAGACCCTCCACATGCATGTTTTTTTCCCCAAAGCTGAGACAATGAAAAGTAGTGGCAAACAGACTGTCAGCTCTTTCTACACTTCCTTGATTCATGTTTAGTAAAGTTGTTAATATATAAACACTGCAAAATTAAAACTAACTTGATGTCAGTTTCAGGAACATTTCAAGACCGTTAAGACTAGCATCTCACCCTACTGATTCTCCATTAATTCAAGTTCATTCAGATTGACAAAGAATTTTATCCTCTCTATCCCCCTCTTCTCTCCCTCCCCCAAAACAGAAAGCTGTGCTTAGCTGAGCATATTTGTCAATTTAGAAGTACACAAAATGTAGATTTTTGATGCTGTAGGTTCCCTGTTAATAAAAGTGTGAATGCTTTCCTTTTTTTAATCAATACAGCTATGAGGTGTATCAAAGAGGAATAATTTTCTATCCTTCTCTTGCTTTTTGTTAATACCAAAATGTGATAGTTCAGGAATTATATTCCCCAGTTCAGTTTTCCCACCAAAACACTCCAAAGCACCAAAGTGCTGCTGACTCCCCTGTCTCCCCTCCCCTGCCCTGTGGCAGGATGGAGAGGATAACTGGAAGCACRAAAAGTAAGGATCACAGGTTGAGATAAGAGCAATTTAATGGAAAYAGCAATGAGATAAGAAAACAAACAGGAACAGCAGCAATGTYAGTAATGGAGTGTACAAGAGGCGAACAGGACCCCCAACAGAACCCCACTGTGCTGTAACCATGTGACCCAGAAACAACTGCCTTCCCCTGTCCCTGGAAAATTACTCCAGGTGATGTAAAATAATCTCTGTATCCTGGCCATGCCCCCTTCCGGCAACTGCAAAAATTAACCCTGTCCTGACCAGTACAAGTGCGCAAAGATTCCTCCATACAAAATACATTAGTTTCTGCATTGTGAAATTAATTTTTTGCATATATTAATATGAAAAAAAGTTTGTAATTTTTTTAAATTTATTAAAATATGTTTAATTTAAACTGTTTTGTTCTTCTATATCAAGACCAAAAGGAAAAGCTGATGCAAGACAACAAAGATCTGCAGTTACGCTACTTGGAACAAAAGCAACAGCTAGATGATCTGAAAAATCAAGTGACCTTTTTGACCAAGGTGAAGTATATTTTTGTTTCAAATATGAGAAAAAAAAACCCCTTTATGTATTATGTATAGTGCAGATACTTATTGAAAGTCGAAGAATATAGAAAAATAAGTGTTTATTTCTTCATGCTGTCAAGCAAAATATCATGTCTCATGAGAATGTATCTTGTTATTCTGAATGTATTTCTTCAATTCACATCCAATAACATCTTTCAATTAAGTTTCAGGAAACTGATGCTGAGGCAGAACTCAATGGAACCGTCTTGGTTATGAAGGTAACCCTCAAAGACTGAGCCTATGAGAGGTTGGAACTAGATGATATTTAGGATCCCTTTCAACCCAAACCATTCTAGAATTCTGTATTTTGCGTTCTCTTCATTCTATTATTTTCTTGTTTGTGCAAGGGGTTCTTGTATGTTGGTTGGTAGGTTGGTTGGTTTTGTTGGGTTTTTTCTTTTATTAAACCCTTGGCTGACCATCACATGCTTTATGCATACCTGGAATTTTCAAGGGCTGAATTATTTGAGCATCTTTTAGTAGTTAATGCCTCAAGCTCACATGTGTGCTTTTGTCATTTTTTAGTAACAATAAATCAGAAGGGAAGATGAAAAATTGCCAAAATTAAATCTAATTTTATGTAAATAATTCACTATAAAATCAAAAGTGAATTAAATCAGATTCACAGCCATTTAWGAAAACCTGAGTTTTTCTCAGTTAAATGACTTGTCATGTTTATAAGTTATAAATGTTTATAAGGTTATAAATGACCTATAATGTTTACTAAAACCAATTTTGTTTATTAATTCTGTAATTGATGCAAGCATACCATAAGCATGGAAGTTCTAATATGTTGTGTAGCAATGTGTAGCAACTTCTCTTTGTTTATTAAAACAGAAAAACAAAACCTATTGTTTTTTCTTTTGCACAAACTAAAAATGGAGTGAGAGGAATAAATCATTGAACAAATMATTTTGCAATGTTTCCACTGTTTGGGTGACTTACCATTTTATTGTCTTGAGGAAGTGTTTAYTGTAATGATGATTATATAATAATAATAAAAAAGAAAGAAAAAATACAAAAAAACTCAATGAAAATTAACCCCCCARTATTAAAAACAGAGGGAAGATAGATTTGAGAATAATAATTTAGGTTTTCTWCTTTTACTGAGGCAGGATTATTAATTATAAATAAGGCAAATGTATCTGTTTGTATTTTCAGTGGATAGATAGGAGTGCTTGCWTCTGAATATCTGATACATTTTAACTGGTTCCTGATAGTCATGAGATTACATTGCTGAAATCAATCCTGACACATTCCAGTCTACCTCATTCCTATTTTTGTGTGTTACCATGTGCTCAAAATTTATCATTTTCTGCTTACTGTCTTACTGTTGTACCAAAGTACATACAAAAGTATGTGCCAGTGTTGCATTTAGCCAGRCACTAATATATGCAAGTCTTTTACAAAAGTCTTTTCTAGCAATTTTTCAAATGCTCTCCAGGATCGAAAGCAACAGAAGAATGTGGACCTTCTGTTCTTGGAAAAAGTGGAAGATGATATGCATAAAGATTTAGAATACTCCCTGCAGAAGCTGCAGTTAACACATGCGGAAACAGTGCAAGAACTTGAAAAGACAAGGAATTTGTTAATTATGCAGCACAAAATTAGCAAAGATTACCAGGTATTAAACTCACAGTGGAAAATAACCTGATAATAACACTTTAACCTTTGTAGCTCTGACACTTGTAATAATTAAGACTTGTAAATTCAGCCACAAAGCCCTTCGGGGCATAGGGAATCAAACATAAAATCTGCTGTTGCTGAAGGTACTGTTTAAAAAATGTGAATCCAAGTGACTATAAGCTGTAGCCTTTTAGCTCATCCTGCTCTTATCATTCAGAATGTGCCTTATTGAGATTATCTCTGGGTTCCTAACAGGTCTTCACAGGTAAGATAGTAAATGTGCTTATCAAATAAGCATCCTTTTCCATAGCTCTCTGCTTTCATTATCTTCKTTCTACTTCCACTGTTGGAGTATTGCAGATCACATTTTGACTTCCATTCAATTAATTAGCATTTAAAGTAACAAAATCATTRAAGAAACCGTTGGGAATGTTGTCCTGAAAGAAAAGCTACTCTGTTTTTCTTTACGATGTTTTTAGATTTTGTTGAAATTAGAACTGATTTGTTGTATTGATACATTAAAAACTGATGCTATTTTTGCATAGTCAAATGTTCTTTCCTCAAAATAACTATATTTTAATTTATAGCCAAAAGCATGAGCAACATCAGTACAGGCAATCCTCAGAAATTCTTTTTACATGCAATTTTTTTCAGACTGAAGTAGAAACAATGACAAAAAAGATCGAAAGTCTACAGAAAGACTAYGAGTTAAAACTGGAACAGTATACCCATCTTCTTGATATTAGAGCTGCACGCATCAGAAAACTTGAAGGTATCTTTAAAATATATTCTTCATTAATTTTTTAGTATTTTATCTCTTGCAAATTACTGTTGTAAATTTGTTCTTCAGTTGAGACACTTTTCCATTCCTAAMACTGGTAGAAAGGTTAGTTCTTTAATGGAAAAATAGCTATTCCAGTCAATTTTCATTAACTTAAATGACAATTATTAATTAAACCAAAGCCAACACAGTGTTTTTTATGATGCAGCTGTTGCTGAATAAGAATAAAATTACCAACTTGTTTTTTTTTAATAAATCATACTTTTATGGTCAACCTTTTATTTCGCAGTACTGTCATTACAGAATCACTTTGTGTTACTAGAATCCCCAAAGTCTTGTTATCATATACTGACACAGTATTTCAACAGGATGAATTTCAAGTATTTTTTTAACGGTTTCACTGTGTAAAAGGTGCATAGGAAGCCTCAAATAGGATATTTTACAAACACTGATGTTGGAACAATTTCACATTTTGTCTCCCAAGTTGCATCTGCTGCATCATGGTTTATGTCCTAATTCTGTAAGCATGTATTTTGATTTCATAGAATTATACAATCCCAGAATGGCTTGGGTTGGAACTCTTCTCATTCCAAGACCCTGCCAGGGGCAGGGACACCTTCCACTAGAAGGTTACTCAGAGCCCCATCCAACCTGTGTGAACCACTTGTTAACCACTTAACCACCTGAGGCTGGGAAACATAATGAAGGTCTTTGCTGATAGTTCTATACACTCAAGATTTAATAGATGTTAAAAGTAAGATGTATTACTTCTTTGGCAAATTTAGTTCAACCCTACAAATATATGCATCTTAAATCTCTGCTATATTTGCATAGTGATACTTACTTTGAATATTGCGTATGACTTCTGAATTTTTGCTTTTTAACTCCCTTATAACCTGATAATAACTGTTGGGGGCCTGTGTCTATTTTTATRTATACTGAAGCGGCTCCACTGAGGAAATAGTCTTGATTGTTGTCAGTCTGCTCAGTGGGGATTTGGTGTATGAATTCTTTTTGTAATGCCTTTAGGAAAATAACATTGTTAATATAATTGAATTCTGCTTTTATCCTTTCTTCTCAGTCATTCATTTTATTTGATTTTTTAAAAAGACAGTCAYATTATAGCTCTGTTTTATGTGTTGCAGCCCAACTAAGAGATATTGTCTATGATGCAAAACCACTTAAGTCCACACTAGAAGTATTGCCAAGTGATCCAGTGGATGGATTTGTTGAAACTGTTCATTTAGAAAGAGGAGAGAACGTTTTTGAAATTCATATCAGCAAAGTGATCTTCTCTTCTGAAGCTATGCACACTTTYGGTGACTGGGAACCTGCAACCTTTTGTACTTACGCATTCTATGACTTTGAACTTCAGATAACCCCAGTGGTTCATGGGAATGCCCCATCATATGACTTCACTTCTCAGTTTCTTGTGCAGTCTGATGACAGCTTCTTTCACTATATACAGGAAAACAGCATCACACTTGAGGTTCATCGTGCGTATGGCATAGATTATGAAACGATTGCTTCTTGTCAACTTAAGTTCCGTGAGATCTTGGAAAATGATGGCAAGATCTACAACACAGCAAATTTAGTTGGTAGTTAATCACAAAGGATTCTGTTTGATCATGTATCACTATATTGCATGTGATTAATAATGCGTATTTGACCAAAAAATAATTTGTGCATTACTATTTCAAAAGGAAAAAAAGTGTTTACAAGAATGCTATTTTGGATGTGCAGCATGTCCTTATGATTCTGACAGCAGTTGTGGAAAGCTGGGATAGGTGCCATTTTGCCCAAAATGGGTTATAGCCACAGGGTAAGAGGGGAAAAAACCCAAACAGGAGGCACTTGCACTTCGCCCAAATCAAACATCAGTGCTTTATATCTGGCCCAAATGTCATAAATACATCCTCCCATTCCTTATCAATAAACAAAGGAAGAAATGGTRTAATTTAAGCTGGTAAGACAAAGGTCACCATGTAATACTGAAAAAGGTACARATTATGGTGATTACAGTTAATAATATTTCATATAGTTGCATAATCTAGGGGAGTGTTTATTTACATTTTGTGCATTATTTTAAGCACATTTATATGCAGTATATTAAAATAATTTTAACATATCCTGGACAAAACACTTCTAAAAAGTATTGAATGTTCTATGCTGCTTACTTTTTCTTTTGGAAATGTTTTTTTAGATCARCATATTCAGTGACCTATTAGCTGCCCACTGTTGTAGAGAATCTGGTTTAATAAGGCTTTATAAAGTGGAACTTTTGCCAGTAATTTAAATTGCATACCACTTTTTGGGACACTTCTAACTGTTTATATACAAAACYGCCCTAACCTTTATTTGCCTTACGGAGATAAAATAATGAACTTTGACTTGACTSTATAGTAAATATATAGGTGTGAAAAATGGTAGTGTTTTGATTTTGTATCATACAGGAGGAGCCTAAGGAGTTGTTTCTATTTCTAACATGATCTGCAGATCTCACATGACAAACACTGTCATAATGCATAGGCACAATCTTTAATTTGTGGCTGTTCTATTCTATAAATTAATCTATTTGTGGCTTTTCCTAGCTTTTGAGTAATGTACCTTAATGTTGAAAAGAAAATTAATGCAWTCCCCTATTCATTCCTTAGGAAAAACAGGACACATTCAAAATTATGGTACCATAGAATACTGGATCAGGTTACAAGTTCCTATGGATCAAGTTATTATTCCCTACAAACAGAGGTCAAAGGCTCTGGGATATATAACAGCCAGTTTTAGGGAACATGCACAACCATTCCAGGTACGTTTGGGTCTGTACTTGATAGAGAGAATTACTTCATGGAGAAGAGAAGCTTCAGGGTGACCTAATTGCAGCCTTCCAGTACCTGAGGGAGCCTATAAGAAAGATGAAGAGAGGCRTTTTACAAGGGCATAGGACAAAGGGGRATGACTTCAGACTCAAGGAAAGTAAGTTTAGATTAGAAGGTAGAGATTCTTCATAGAATCATAGAATAGGCTGAGTTTGAGGGCACTCATCAGAATCATTGAGTCCAATTCCTGACCCTTCACAGACAGCCCAACAATCCCACCCTGTGCCTGATAGGGTTGTGCAAATGTTCCTGGAGCTCTGGCAGCCTTGGGGCTGTGTGCATTCTCTGGGGAGCCTGGGCAGYGYCCCACCACCCTGTGGAGGAAGAACTTCTTCCTGATATCCAAATTGTGCCTTTTCTGACATAGCTCCAGCCATTCCCTTGAGAGGCACAGATTGCCTGGAAAAGCTGTGGCTGCCCCATCCCTGGAAGTGTTCAAGGCCAGGTTGGACAGGGATTGGAGCACCTAGTCTAGTGGAGGTGTCCCTGCCTGTGGCAGGGTTTTGGAACTAAATTTTATGTTCCCTTCTAATCCAAGCCATTTTGTGATTCTGTGGTAGTTTTGATAAAAGAAATTGTTGATTTTTTTTCTAATTCAGATAGCTTAGTTCAAGTCTTGATATGTTCAGACTGTAATAAAGATTCTTGAACTGGAAAATACCCTAGCAATTTTTCATATCAAGAGATCAAGAACCATTTGAATTGTATCTTGCCTGAAGAGGCAAAGTCTTAAACTCAGTTATTTCTTTTCACTGAAATTGTCACTAGAACATTTGACATTATTATATTTCATTTCCTTAAGCTGTGACAGATGTTTTAATATCATACKCATAAATGTTCAACAAACCAGGTGTTGTATCAGTAGAATAGGTGAAGCCGTTSTTCAAAAAGGTCTTGAACTTCTTAAATTGGAGTATTACGAGATTTAGATTCCTTCACATTGTTTTTCTTACTGAGTTTTTTAGCTAGATATTGATGAGAATTTTGACAATGTAGTTCACTGCACAATCACATTTAAATAAAGGTCACAGAAAAAGAAGGGACTTTCAGACATCTTTAATAGTTGTTTAAGAAATAAAAGTAAAATGGTTGGAATGTATAAATGAAAATACTAGAGTTTTTAATGGGCTTTTTTTTAATCTAAGCTGTTTAAAAATACTCTATGTCTGGAGTAACTGTAATGTTTTATATTATTTCATAATGTAAATTTGTATTATACTAAAATCTCAATGGGTTCCATGATGTAATCTGAGAAGTATGTTGTGTATGAATTCTGTTAAATGATTGTGTCTGTTTAGAATTTAATTTAGTGCCATTATATTTGGCTTTGAAAAAAATTAGGGTTCCTCAAAATTTACTGTAAAATAACTTGGAAGTAAATTATCTTTAATATTTGTTTATTACAGACACCAACACTCAAACTGAAGCACCGTGCACCTCAAGCACACAAGAGAGTCTCTTTTCTGGATCGTAGTACAATACATATGGCAGTAAGTTTTAAGTATTTTTGTCATGCATGTTGAAATGTAAGTCTACTTATGGCTCWGTATGGGCGATTTGTAGAAGTAATAATCAAGAACACTGGATTATTTTAGCAGCACTATACTGGGATGTCCGAGGCAATGAATGATAGCATAGTACTTCATATAGGTGGGGGATGCAATGCAGGGGTATTTGTGTGACTCCCTCAGAATTGCTTGATGTCTTCCACAGTTTGCAGGCTTCAATTTGCATAGGCTTAGGGCAGATCTTAACAGGGCCAATCAGCTCTCTGCACTGTGTTTCTCAGCTCTCAGCATTATTAAAGTGTCTTTCTGCAGTGTACCACTTGCATCGCATATAAATTGCTCTATAGAAACCCACTTGATCCAAACAAATCCTGAGTGTTGGTATGCACAATTTGACACAGTTCAGAGTCACCTCAAAATGAAATTTATTGGCTGAGATTGCACACGTTATTAAAACAATTACACTTCTTTACCTGGGATACACTGTCATCTGTACTTCCTTCTAGCATCTAAGAGAGTCTGCATGGAACTAACTTAAGTGTATTTGCTGCATTGTGTAAATTTTCATATTAAATAATTTGCATTCAGAGAACTAAGAATAGACTATTTAGCCTTTTAATTAAAGCCAGTAAGTAAAGGTAGGTTCTTCAACAGGTAATTATAAAAGGCTATGATTATATATTATATATTATATATAATTATAATGTTAATAATATTGCATTTATTTAAAACTAGCTGTGAGGTTTTTTTTTCTTTCATAAATTAGTTGATTGGATTTATTTTTTGAAAGGTTAACATCAATTTTCCATTAACAGGTTCTGTTACAGTTTAATTTACTATGACTAGAACTTTATTGTGAGTTATGCAATAAAGGCTGGAAACAAGAACTAAGTCAATGTGTTGCATTTATTAACTTTAAAAAAGGTCAAATATTAGTGAATATAATCTTTTGAGAGCTTAGATAGGAAAAACTGAAATGTTAGCCTGGATAGTTATACACACAAAATATCTTCAGTTGTCCAAACAGTAACTTCTCAAAGTTTGAAAATTTTTTACAAACTAGGATTTTCTAAGTGAGACAGCTACTTGGTCTGCATCAGAAGTCTTCATTGCTGCATTGGCAGGTCCTCTAGCTGTTTTAAAAATCTAAACCTTGGTGTCTGGTTAGAGACAAAAGTACCATTAGGCGTAAATAATGAAACTGGTGGGCCTTCTCTGAGTCTTGTGATGAAATGGCAAGGGAGTGTCCATGCAAGAAAAATAGAAGTTTGACAGATTAAAATGAGAGGTTTGTTTCATTTTCCAGTTCCTTTTCTGAATAGCAGAGAATCTAGTTCTTAGTTAAAGTTCTTATCAATGTGATACATGCCAAAGCAAATAGTTGTTCTCAGAAAAGGAGAGTCACTAAAAAGTGGGATGAAGGGTTTGACTCACCGATCAGCTTGTAAGAATTGTCCAGCCTCATACACAGAAGCTGTAGCAGAGGACAGAACTAGTGATGCTAATGCATGGAGGCAAAGGAGGATGTAATTTCCTGTCCAAATGCTTCTCCACCAGTAAATTTATACCTACTTTTGTATATTAATTGTCTATTGTATATTAAAGGCTTCCCCTTATTTTATTCCTAACTTACGGCACTGTATTTGAAAATAATATGGAAGTACTTTAACATTTAAAAGGCAATTCCATAGAGTTCGCTACAATTATAATAATGACTTAACTACAGATTTGAGATAGTAACATTCATACCAAAGTCAATTCACATGCACACAGGTAAAACTATGTGCAGGCCTATGTGTGTAAATTTAGCTATCAAAAGTCCTTCCTGGGTTCAGTGAAATGCTTGCATCAAATCTCTTTTGTGTTTTCCACCTGGCAAGGCTTGSAATTCAAAGAATGTGATGTGTGGTAATCAGCCCAGGCCTCCTATCAGTGAAGGTCTTACAGGTATCACAGACTAGAGGGTTTGCAAGCTCTGAGAGGCCACTCTCAGAGAGAGCAGTGTGGTGGAGCCGCTACTGTCCACAAGAACTCAAATGGTTTCACTCAGGACTGCTGTTTATAGGGTTGCAAGGTGATTGATGTTGGTCATCAATTTCCCTCTTGGCCAATTGCTCCTGGTCTTTTTTTTTTTTTTTTTTCCAAGTGTAGTAGCAATGAAACCATTACACTTGGGCTACAATTCAAGGTAAATTGCTTACCAAGGCTTAAAATGACAATTGCTTATCTTTCGTTTCCCACTTTAGTTAGGCAGCTGATGTTTCGATTGCCCCCACTTCTACCATGCCAGAGGTTTTGCTATGATCCAAGGGTACCTCACAGTTCAACTGATAGGTCAAGAGACACTTCACCAGTCAGCTGGTTCTGTCAAGGCTTATAAGGAGTGGCTGAGATCACAGCAGCATTGAGGATGATGTACTTGTGGGTGATGTAGGAGGGATGCACCRCCACAATATGTAGCATTTCAAGGAGAAGAAAAGTATTAAATATTGTAATTTATATTGTTCCAAYTGGTTGTAAAAGTAGCTTGTGGCAAATTGGCAAACTGTAGTTTCTAGCGGTGTAACACAATATTTAATCACTGGGTCTTATCTTCCTTTTAYTTTTCTACTTTAAAGCTCATATGGGGCTTTGATTGAGAAAAGTCTCTCTCTGACCATATCAGGTGGTATTGGTCAATTAGAATAATCAAAAAAATGTTCTCTCTGAAACTGTCATCCACAAAGTGCAACTCTGTCACTGAAGGAATTAATAAGAATGCCCAAACTTTGTATAAAACACAGTGGTTATGACAGATCTATAACAAGCAGGAACATAAACATCTAAAAACACGTAAAGTCAGTTTTCTATGACTTGAAAACTTCTAGGATAATCTTGAGTTACAGAACAAGGCTCTAATGTATTTGTTAACATTGCTTTGCTTTGTGTGGCTCCAAATGTGTTAGAACAGAAAGAGCTCTTTGGGTCCAGTGTTGGAAAACTCGGATGTTTTGTGGACACCTGAAAGATTTTTCATTGATCTGAGAGTGGGAGGTGAGGCATCAGTATGTGTGAAAAATTCAGTCCTAGAAGRGAATTGTTGGATAATAAATAATGCRCAGGCAATAAAGCACTGCAAATTTTGACAGAAGTTGCCTTGTCTATAATTCAGTATTCACTGATGAGGTATTACTCTRTGTAACTGAGAGAGTAAGAAGAATAGAAAGAAGAGAATAAGATTTCTTCAGAATACATTGTACACTAAAAATATTTTACCTTAGATGACTTGTTTGTACTGTGTAGCAAAGCTGATTCTTTTTAAATATTCTRTTAGTTTTGCTTTTGAGACAGAAAATACTGTATAATTCAAGTTATAAAATGATTAATAATGTGGTGGTGGTGGTTTTTGTGGTTTAGGGTTTTTTGGCTGAGTCTTGTAGAACTTGTAGAAAAAGATGAAATATAAATTAGTCTGAAAATCAATCAGGCTGTATATATGTTGACAGGTACAAAATTATTATAATAGTTATGTTTTCACAAATATACATGGTTAGATAAATATCTTTCTGCTGTATCAATTATACATTACAGCAGTTGACACCTTCTCACTATTTCCTGCACTGCATAAGCAATACAATTGTTAAAAAGCTCTGGATAATGAATGTGGGTCACAACTCTTCAAGTTTTGAAATTTAGTAACTTCTGCTATTCCAGGGGTGTTACTAAAGACTGTAAGTTTATCTTTTTCTATAGCATGTGGTACAGGAGGCTAAGCACCTGTCAGATGACAAGATGAAGGAGATGGCTGAAGAAATTCAGCAGGAAAAAGAAGAGCTCTCTCATGTGTCAGAGGAGCAGCTGGCTGACCAAACATTGATTACTTCTAAAGATAAGAAAGAAATAATTGAAGAACTGGAACCAGAAGGTAGAATTCATWATTACTAATAAGTACCTGTATTTTCTGAGGAAATACCTTTCTATTTTCATAAGCTTTTCTTACTGGTAGKGGAAGCTGCCTCATTATGAAAAGCTTCATGACAGTAATTATATTCTAGTGTACTTKACAGCTGGGTCGTGGATAAGATGGTGTTGTTTTCTTCCCAAATGGAAACCATATTGTAATTGATTGCAAAAATCTGMTATATTATTTATATTTATAAAATATTGAAGGAAACTTGGTTTCTGTTTTAAAGGTCTTTATATTCTCCCTTAGAACTATGCTGTTCCAAAGACTGTTTTTTGTCTGCAGATAACAGCCAATGCTCATAATGCTCATATCAGAAATCTTTCAGACATTGAGGCCTAGTATGCCATATCACATCTGTGGCACAAAGTTGTTAAATTTATTTAAATATTATAAAAGCCAGGTCATCCTGTTCCACCTCGGAGCTTACACTGTTTATTACGGCAATAACCAAGTCCATGATATCAAGTTTAAAATAAAATCAGAAGCAGAATGCTAAAATTTTATGTTTAGTTGTTTGAAGCTTTTGCATAAGAATTCATTAGAAAGATTGGAAAAACTTGCTAAATGTTGATGTTGAATACCTCTTGTCTTTTTAAGTAATTCATGGGAAAAATGCTCTAAAATGATCTAGAAAATAATGCACCTGCATGTAGAACTACTTTTTTGTTTTAAAAAAGTTGCATTCTTCTTTTATATATGCATGGTGTTAAAGAAAGTCAGAGCAAATCCACAAATTCAGGCCTTATATAAATCTAACAGTTGCACATACTTGGTCGATTGCAGGACTTACTCCATTYTTGCATCTGGAAAACATTACTGTTTTTTAACAAACCAGAAAAATTAGAGATTAGATTACTCCAAAGGTCATTGATTCTCAGTGTTAATCTTCTTTGAGGAAGAGAAGAATTACATGTCGCTTACTCTTTTTATATTAGAAAAGGAAATTTATTGCTATCAGATTTCTCATTAAGTCTTAGGTGGTCTAAAATATAGTGGGGATTACCTGCATTGTTGTTTGGTTTTTKTTTTTTTTTTTTAGATCAAGAAGATCATCAAGAGGATGATGCTGTTGAATCAATAAAAACTGACAGTGATGACTGTATTATTTCAAGTCCAGTATCCACAAATATTAAACAGCTGAGTCAGAGTATACATGGCAATTATTTGGTAAGACTAAGAAAAATATTTTAAGCCTAATGTCCTGTAAGAGTAGCTTTGCTATATCTACRTCAATTTTCAGTGAAGCTGTACAGTATCAAATCTCTTGACCTACTCTTAAAACCAGCAATTCAGGACTTGAAGTCATATATACAAAATAGTACAACATAATACAAATTTGGAAAATTTACTTTGAACAGTATTTCAATAGGATTGTTCTCAAAAAGCTAGTATTTCACAATTTTAGATCAAACATTGACTGAACTTTAAATATAAAACTAGTACTTAAAATTAACAACTTTTAATATTCTGCAATTTCATATCCTAGTGGTAGTTTGATTTTTTGAAGTGCTCTTCTAAAGGCTATGTGATATCTTACAAAGTAACTAGCAGCATGAAATGTGTATGAGAAGTATTGCTCCCTTTTTTYGAGCTGTAGAAAGTATTTCTTAAAAGAAGCTATATGTCCTCAGCTACAGTAGGTTTGTAGCTATCACTTACATGTTCTTTAGAAAAGGTACAGAAGGTTCTTTTGAAGATTTCATTATTTATATGTAAAATGTTTTTAAAAAATTCACCTGTAATTTTGAGAAATAAAATTACTACTAGTAATTACTACTAAGTCAAATGACAATACAGTTGCACTGTACCTATCTGGTCATCCTGTATTTTATTTTATTTTATCAAAATTAAATATTTAAGAAAAATTCTCAGAGAATTTTGTATGTAGATTCATTTCAGGTTCATCAGTTTCTGTGTCCCTCCRTTGATCTGTTCTGGTAACAATGTGCATGTTTGTGAAAGGGTAGATAGAAACAATAAAAGCTACATACTATTAAGGCAACATGTTTGATAGAAATTGGATTTTGAAAATACTCATTACTTTACTTGAATTCTTGGATTAATTATAAAATACAGCACATCAAAATTGCTATTCRTTTTTTGTTTGTTTAAGATCAAAAATCACTGTCTTTTATATTGTGAGATAATTATTCTGCTGGTAATCAAATACTGTAAATATGTTTTGTGATTTTTAGAGATCATTGTGCTGACTATCCTATAAATCTGAGTTGTATGCCAAACTGTTTAAATAATTTAAGATCATACTGGAATTTTTTTGCATGTTGCAAATTAGACAGTTCAAGGCTTATCTAACAGATTTTCCAGTATCAAGCTGTACCAGTTACTTCTTTATCTTTTCTCCTTGTCTATAGTGTATGATTGATCATAAAAGACTTCATTTTGTTTCATTCCATTTATAAACTGGAATATGAAAAGCATATTCAAGTCAATGACCACCACTTTCATGACATTTGGTAGCCACTTGATTTATTAGATTTTAGGGAAAAAAAATTGCTGAAGCCATGTACTGTGTTAGTAGAGACAGAATGGCRTGGATTTTTTTTCCTGTCATCTAGTAAAATTTCCATGAAACTGCTGAATAGTGAAAGAACCTTCTTGAAAGGTCTAGATTTGGATTTTTAGTTAAAGTTTCGCAGGATATATAATAAAGGGAAAAGTCTTTTGAAAGGTGGGGTTAAATTACATCATCAAATACTGAAAGGACTTGACAATGGAAATTGTTCTATATGGTGGATATTTTTACAAGGATACACATGCTTTTTATTTTGATTAATTATATAATTTTCTCAGCAAAATGTAAGCTATCTCCAAATTAAATAAGAACACTGAGTTGAAGTTCTGACTGAATATAGAAAGCTAATATTTTGAATTTAATTTAGTACTCCAAGTGATTTAAGTTTAGAAAAAAAAATTGTCAAGATATTTCCATATAGAAGAAGTATTTTTAATAAAGTTATGGAAAAAAAGTGAAATATTGAAAAGAATTAGGTTTTAAAAAATTGACATTTTGGTACTCCAGTGTGTTTTGTTTGCTCTTTGAAGAATGTCATCATTGAATGCTCACCTACAAATTCCAATTTTGAAACCTTAGTGTCTTTTCTTTCTTCTTTCTTCCTAGAGTAACTTAGGGAAATACTTGTTGCGCTTTCTCTTGAGTGTGATATGCCCACTTAAATACATAAAACTTATTAAAATTTATCTGTACACAAATACTCCAGACTCTGCAGAACAATATGAAGCAATTTCATTTAAGGAACAGAAAAATGTCATTTCAGTTAAAGATAATAAGAAAAAGCTCTGGTGAAAAACAATTGGGATATTACTTTTATTATCACATGTTAAATTTAACTTCTAAAGGTATGTTTGATTTAACTAGGAGAATTCACTATATGAAGTTGAATTATTTACAAATACATTATTACTTTACATGCCTAACAATTTTGTGATTTGATGGATTTTCATTGAACTTTTTGTTTGTAGTATAGTCTGTAGTGAACACTAACATTTCTTTTTGATTTGGAAAACTTTGGTACCTTGTATTACTGAAAGTAATACTACCTTGTAGTACTGAAAGCAGTTACAGGATCACTTTGCTGTTTAGGTAAAAATTATGACAGCTGAAATTTGCGATTCAGATAGCATTCATACATAACCAGCAGACTATGACTACTGCAAAAATATTCTAAACATTGAATGGAAATCAGTATCTCTTGCAACAATAGTCTTAGCTACAAATCCTGGAGCTTTAGATTTGCATTTTTATATGCCAATCAATTAGTATTAATCGTATAAAATAAGCTTATGATTTACATAACTGTAAGTATATTTGTTTTGTGTTAACACCTAAAGAAACGGAAAAAAATTATATAATGTTTATGTTTTGTTTTTAAAATTTTTAAAAAAGGAAGGTGAAAAAATCCGGATTAAAATTACATCACTTGGTCTTACTGAGTCACGAATTACATCAGATGAAACAATACAGCAGCTGTTTGTAGAATGCAGATTGAATAGTTTCCTTGCAGAGGAGACCCCACTGTCACTTCCAAAACCATTTGGTGGTCAGAGGATTCATTATAATTATAGCACTGGTAAGTCTGATGTGTTTCTGAGCAGGCGTGGTTCCTCTCTTAAATAATTCTGTCTGACAAAAATGCCTGCAATAAAACCTACTTCTTGTATATTATAGTTGCATTTCTCTATATGCCACCTCTACTTGCCTGTTTTCCAGATATATTGGGAAATACTAATTGTGATTTTTAASAAATTAGGTAAATACACAATTATCAAATGTAAAATGAAATGCTGAGGTCAGCTGGTGTATAAAACGGTAACATCACAACAGATTTAAATATGCTGGTAGCGCATAAATTTTAAAATTAGACTATACATAACTAAAATCTATATATTCATTTTAAAAGAGCAYGATTAACTGATTTTTCTATCAGTACATGATGATACAGCAAAAGAAAAAGATTCTAACCTGTACAACTGAAACACAGTTGAAAAGAGATCTGTAATTGAATTTCTTCACTACTTGCAAATTCTCAGCATTCTTTTAATCACAACTTTTTAACAGGGGAACTGATTCATCCATGTTTAATACTAATACATTGCCAATTCAAAATAGTTTATATTTACACTACTTGCATACATAGAACTATTGTAATAATTGATAATTCTCTTGTTAATTGTTTCCCCAGATATTTAATTGTATTTCAATTATTCATTAACTTTTTGTAAAAGAAAAATTTAAAAATAGAAATAAAAAATTTAAAAGTTTTATTTCATTGAAGATTTGGCATGAGTGCTTTGGTCTTGGACTTTTAGCTGAGAGCATTCTGGAATGGGTTAATAATTTTGCTATTTTTGACAAACCATTAATAGAGACATTCAAATTAAGCATTCTTCAAAAAATAATTTTGTAAAAGTGGCTTTGCAAAAATGGTGTTTTAGTCAAATCTTTAAAATTGCTACCATCTACAAACCTGATTTTCGAATGCAACTTGCCAAAGAATTCACTCATTTAGATCCTCCTCTTACTCATAAACTATTGGATCACTCTGTGTGTAGCTGAAGACTGAAGTGAATCAGCAATGTCACTTCAGYCATTGCTATGTTGGTATTGCCCACTTGAGAGGGAATATGGATGACAGATTTTTCTAGTCCATTGGTCTGGAGATTTCTCTTATTGAAATATTGTGGTATGAAAGGAGGATTAAATTACTGAGGCTGYCAAAAAGGATAAGATCTTTGCCATATATTCTCATTATCTCTAGCTTCCTTAGTGGAAGAAAATACAGTAAATCACTTCAGACACAAAGCAGTAAAGACCCTTGGCTTTTAAAATCATGCCTGCTATTACCATTAATAGCAAGTGACAGCTCTGTGACATGCTTAGATATTGCTTGTATCTTTTTTTGACAGTGTTCATATAAACCTGCCAGTGACACACCATTAGATGAAGATTCTAACATTTGATTCTGACATTGTTGTTTTTCTTTAGAAAATAAATGCTTTTTTTTGTTCTTCATGCTCTGTCTTCTAAAAGGTAAAACCAATTGATAACCAATTATATTATTTGCTTTGCAGTGATAAATGTGGATAAAGAAGATAACCATGCAGAAAGAGAGTATCTCAAGTCAATTCTTCTAAAGCCAGATCTACCTGCTGACAGGTACAGATTAATGCTGAAAACCTCTATTACAGGTCTTTGTAAATAATGCTTGTGGTTTACTTTTTTTGTTTGTCTTTACTGGCAAGGTAATCCTAAGTCGTAAGTAACTAACAAGAAAAAAATTGTTTTGGCTAGGAATGATGCTTGCATTCAGATGTGGCACCTAGTCTTGTTTCTTCTCTGRGTAGATGCATGTGGCATGGAATATTGCTACCTCATCTAATGCTTGTTCAGTGCTGTGGTTTAAGTTTGGGAAGGTTTTGTTTGGCTGGTTTGTTGATGGGTTTTTTAAACAACTTCATTTTCAAAAACAAGATTTTCTGGATTCTATCATCACTAGTCTGTCAGTAATTAATTTGAAAAGCACATATCTATGTGATGGTAGAGTAGTACATTWGTTGCTTTCTGAATTCAGAATACTAAAAGGAGTCTTAAGAACTACAGGAAGTGTTTCTTGGCCCCAGAATTTAAGTATATTCTACTAAAATTTAACAATAATGAGAATAAAATACTTCTTTTTTTCCCCCTGACAGATAATTTAGTTGCTAAAGAAATTTCCCTATCTAACCATCCAAGACCACACTGGCAGTCACACTTTACCACCTGAGCTGGAACTGAGGCCCCTTTGCAGCTACACCCCCCACACTGTCCCAGTCAGACCAGTTTCCCTCACCAACTCCAGTCCAGATTTCCCATCGCTGAGTCTAAGAGGTCCCAATCCTTAAAATAATTTAATTTTGTAGTAGTTAAAAAAGACAGTAACAGCTCAAGTTGGTGCCTCTGCAGAAGGACCCTGAACAAAGGMACCCCTGGTCTTTCATACGCTCACAGGACAGTCTGGGGGTTATCAGCTCCTGCCATGTCCCCAGGTGTCCCTCACCTGGCTGAGCCCAAAGTCTTGGGGGTTATTGGCTCCTGCTGTGTCTCTGAGTCCCTCCCCTGACTGGGCCACAGGTCCTTGGGCCCTTTGTTGTACCACGGGATGGCAGTTCACAGTCTTTTGCCTCKGGCTGGGCTCCTCCAGTGCTCAGCCTGCAGCTGCTCCTGAGCCACCTGCACTGGGTGGATTCCTCAACACAGTGAAAGAAAATAGCTGGTCTGTATGCTCTGATTTCCCCTATAAATACTTAGATATCTATACTGAATATTTTACAAACCTGAAGTAAAAATAAAGCAAAAAAATAAAGTAAAAGCAGTGAGCTTTTTCTCAGAAGAGAAGCATTCATATCTTACATGTGCCACCATACCACTACTGTCCCGTGTTACTGAGTTGGTTGTTTCCTGCAGTTATCAGAATGCCTGATTTGGCTTGTGCTGAAATTTCAATTCTGTGTTGAGTAAATAGGAAGGCAGAAGTTCATCAGTAGTCCCGTTTCCCATTTTTTCCTAGCAAGAGGATGTCAGGAAAATTAATTTACAAGCACCAGAGGTTTATGTCTAAAAAGGAGACAGAGGAGTTTTGCAACTTTGTTCATGAATAAAGGGAGAGGTCATGGACATTTCTCATGGGGTCTCTCAAATTCATAGAGGATGCAGCTTCTTTTATTCTAATTTCTTGGCCRCCGTTCCCTCTCTCTTTCTTTATTGGCTGAGGTACTTGAGAGGTACAGGTTCTTCAAAATGCCTAATGAAACCCTCTTCTATCATACATTTCCCCCTTTCAATATACATCTTTGTCTCTGCTCTTGTAGTGTATTAACATAGTCTGGGGTAAGTCAATCAGTGGAATTCTCATGGAAATCTTTTTTATTGTTTCTTTCTCAGTATTAGTCTTATCTTACTCTCAGAGTCAGTCTGTAAAGACACTCCCTTCTCATTCCTTTCAAGGATCCCCAAGAAACAAAATTTATGGAAAYATTRTGCGCATACACAAAACGTTTCCACCTCTATGCATTTTAAACTTGTAAAATGGTGTGGCTTTTAATTTTTTAATGGTTTTTAATTTGATTTTTAATCCTTTTTGAAGACAAAATACCTTTTTTTCTGTGCGTGTTTAGCCTGAAATTTACAGTGGTCAGTGATCCCCCAGAAGATGAACAGGATCTTGAATGTGAGGATATTGGGTTTGCTTATGTCAGTTTAAAAGAGATATTCCAGAAGCAAAGAGATATCATTGAGCAAGATATTGATGGTAAGTTTTAAAGATCACTTTCTTGTAAACTTCTATATCCTAAAATTTATTGAATTTGTACCTTGCTTTGCAGGCTTTACTGTGCAAGTAATTGACATTGTTTCAGTAAGAAATTCTTTAATACTAACTAATGACTTCCACATTTGTTTCCAAAAGTCTGCCTAAACTTTCTATTAGTGTTATTTCTTAAAGTCTGTTTAAAAAAAGACCCAAACCAAACAGCATTCTCATCTCATAGTAATTAGTTTATAAAATCTAAGAACTTTCAAGCCATGTCGACTACTACAATTCTTTTTTTTTCTATGACATACTTCATTGTGGTAGGATGATAAATATGTATTTTGTATAAAATGCTGTTTTGTATTAAAATTTATGTCAGCAATTTGTCATACTAATGTCARTATTTTATTTGAAATTACCCTCCGAGTACCTCAAGTCTGTGTCCTCCATATGAAATGTATGAGACAATATGAAATACTGGTTTTGGTTAGGAATCAGTTTTAGTGAGCACCCTTCTGTAACAGACTGGACCAAACTAGAGCAAGATAATGTGAGTAGGAAATATGGAATCTTCTATTTCCTAGGGTTATAAGATGCATTTYTATAATACTGTTAAAACTCAAGAAGGCTATTTGGTCCTTCTGTAGATGGTGAGGATAATATTCTCCTTGCACAGTTTCCTGTTCCCCATGGCAGCTGGTACATGGTTACCAATGGTACACTTTACCTTTTCCTCTCAATCCTCTTTCTCCACTGGGGTGAAGCTCAGTGAAGAAGCTGAAAGCACTTCTGTTATGAAAGAGTTGCTCTCCTCTCCCAGTAAGTGAACTAGTTTGATGACTGGATGCAGAGCACCCATGTTTGCAAGGTACCTTTTGCAATAGCAAGAGTTCTAGTGAGCCCCAGCAGAATACCAAGCTAATGTGACTTTATTACTTCTACTGCTGTATCTAATTCCTGCACCTTGAGCAATGGGGAGCTGAGTAATGAGGGAAAGAAACAGGCTTTCTTATCAATTCCCATTATCATGCATGATTTGCATCCATGCTCTTGCTAAAATACTCAAAATTACAGGAATGCAATGAGAAAACTTCTAAGAATCAAATCTCCATGGTTTGAAAAAATAATATACAGATTTGATGTATTTCCTGCTGTGGCTGAGCATTTAAGGTTTTCTCTGCCAATAATTTTTCTCCAAGTGCAAAAGTTCCTCCAAAAAGTATTTTGTAATCTCTTACTGGAAGATTGTTTTTGATCTGGAATTTATGACCACACCTTCCACTGTCATCATTCCCATTTGATAAGACTGATTAGTTATGTAAACAGTTTTTGAAAGTTACCTTTCATAAAACCCTTACAATTCCTAATCATCATCTGAGAGAATTATCTGGAACGACTGTTTTATTACTAGTCATTGTAAGCTAATCATTATCATGTAATGACAACTACTTCAATATTGTGAGGATTGTTTCTTCCCATAATCATCAGACATTTAAACTAATTTTTCGTTTATGTTAATTATATCCATGAAAATGATAATAGCTAGAAATACTTTTATTCTTTTTCCCTTCTGCACTTCTCCCCTTTCCTGCATACGCTGTGAAGTTTTTTTTTGGGTTGTTTTATTATTACATCCATAACATTTTCTGAAAGTTTAGATGTTTCAGAGAATTTAAATTAGTTTTATGTTAATRTATGTTAGATCATGACAAAATAATATACTGGTCATGGATGAAATCATTGTAAAGGATCAGTTAATAAGATCTGGGCACAGACATCTATTAAATGTATGGGCACAATAAACAGAATTCCTAAGTAATATTGTTGTACACATTCTCTGAGGTGGATATTGGTTTAAGGAAAAGTAATAAACCTGGACACAGGGAAATTCAGAGGGCGCTGCCACATGAAGATAAAATCATTCTTAAGTTAGATACCATAAACTTCATTTATTGTTTTTGTGGATTGCAACCATCTATCTTTTTCACATTTTGTTCCTTTCACTGCYGATTGTGTCAAAGTGGTTTATGTGAAATTTGAAGCAATTGAGTGAATGGCTAAGCAAGATGATCGATGAAAAAATACAACAGTCAAAAAATGTAACTGTGCATCTCAGAGATAACAGGACAGTATAAAAAGTCAAAAAGTAGAATTAGTGTTATCTTCTGATATAATTGCAAWTATCCTCCTCTTCTAAGTAAAAAGGATACTGTCCCCTAAATCTGCTCTTGAAGTTGACAGTTCACTGAGTGATTTGTCAAGGCTGATTTGGACCCCTCCATTATACAAAGTGTGGAAAACTCATTAATTGGTGTATTTTTACTTAAATTTGTTCCTATATATGTAGATACATCTTTGATAGAGTTTGGAACATCTTTACATATTGTAAAAAATTATTTATATAGACAATTATTATATTGATAGTTTTCTTTCTAAGTTAATTCCAACGCTAATACTTTTATTGATGCACATTCTAGTTCTAAGAGAGGTTAATTTCTAGTAGCCTGAGGACTTGAACTGGAAGATTTGTTTATTTATTTATTTATCCATTTTTAGCATATGCTAGGTGCCGTTCAATCTGTCCAAACAAAGGAAAGTTATAAAAACAAAATGAAATCTTAAGCTAAATAGCTAATGCTGTTTTCTGATGTTTCCTTTCTAGTTTTTGATTCACAAGATGCCAGTACTGTTATTGGAAAGCTTACAGTGACAGTGGAGGCCCTCCATGCACTGCGTTCAGTCCATGAAGAATGCAAAAATGACTAGGAGGCAGGAAAGGAGCATTTGCYTATAGAGGTTCTTGCTTCCAGTGTAAAGATATACTTGATGGTTCAAAAAAATGAGATCTTTGTCATTCTTACAGTATATTTAATGTAAAATGTGTATGAAAAATACGTTTGATTGGCAGGTGTAAAGTTCTGTACACTTTTCAGTCTGTTTTCTTATTTTTAAGGTCCTTGTTGAATCATACTTCAGGCTCTCAACACTTGATATTATCATGGTCTTAGTTCTAACAAAGTTTGCTTTCCAATGAAAGCTGCTTGTAAATTACCAGATACCAGTTGAGGGTATTTTGTCTAAGGAAAGAAGTGATGGTGAACCTTCAAACAGAAATGCTTGTACTTCTCTGTCACAGTATGATCTAACAATAGCGTTAGAAATTGCCTCAGGTAGTTTTTAGTCCAGGCACTGCAGGATTTGGTATTATGTTAAGCCATGTTTCTCAGGGCTGTATCCAACTTAGTCTGAAAACCTCCAAGGATGGGGATTGCTTAACTCACATTGTGCTTAATTGCACAACCTGTTCTGATGCCTGACTGTTTTCATAGAGRAAAAAAGAGATGCATTACACATTACTTCAATCCAAATTGAAGCAAAAGCTATATCTAAGCACATGGAACAGCTTTTGCACTTAACGTACCATCTAATAATTTAATTATTTGGWTTTTAATTCTAGGGATGGCATGTTTGTTATTTGTTTCAGCCATTTAATATTTTAAATGGCACAGAAATAAAAATAACAAAGCATTTTAGTGTTGATTTTCATGCTATGCAGTATGCCATCAAATTTTCATCCAGTTTTGTGAAGCAGTTGCCAAAAAATAGCAATTACTTTAACAATGCATTTTTGTTTCTGTAGATTTCAGTGGTAAACAATTTGTTGTGATTTATTCCTGGGTTTAGGGTTTTTTGTATTAGGCTTCGATTATTTGAACCACAAGGATAGCTGCAACAGTGMAAGACAGGTTTTGCACACAATCTAGCAATTATTTGTTTCACATTTATGTGGATTTGGACCATACTCTATTTTCTATTTAGACAAATTGTTATTCTTGTTAAATGCAAAATTATTTCCATATGTATTAAAGTCACAAGAACTGAACCATCCTTGAAAAAAATGTTGGAAAAATATGATCCTTCTACTACTACCAAAAAAGAATCAATAAAGTAAACTCTCTTTTGCATATTATAAACTAGTGGTTATTCTGATTGTCTACTCATAAGTATCAATATCTATACAAGCTGATAGCCTTTGACTTCAGTGGTAATGAACAACCAAAACTGTTTTACCAGAAAAAATAAAAGGAGACACCAATCAGCATCTGACTGCAAGCACAGGTACATGAACAATGGCTAAAAATGAGCAAACTTAAGAATTTCTGAAAATTCTTGCTTCATTTTGAAAACATTCTTTAACCTTCTTTCCTCTGCAATAAACATTGTAGTATACCAAAATCAGACTTTCCAATAGGTTGGTAATATCAACGGTATTGTGATAAACACATATTATTGTGCTGGCTTTCACAGATATTAAGATGTATGCTATGTATTGGGCATCATAATTTAATGCCTTTTTGTAGAAGTAGCTTAGTTAYGCAGACATAGTTGTGAAATAATCACTAATGCTTTTATTCTTTTGTAACTCAGATATAGCTGTAATAYAGCTGATGTTGTTTTAGAATACTTGTGGTTAAGTTGCAGTAACTGAAATATTATAGTTKGTGACTTAAACATTTCCATGAAGGACTTTTTGCGTATTACAGCAAAACTGTACAAAAGCTGCAGAGCGGGAAACCAAAGCCTTGAATGGGGCCCTGGCTGCACTGATCAAAGATAACTAACAACCCAGAGCTGGAGAAGAATACATTCACAAAGAGATCCTTTGGGGTCCCAGGGCTATCAGTTACTAAGTCAGCACAGACCCTGACACCAAAGGGTGGAAGGAAGAGAGGCTTGGGAATGTGTAGAGGAAAAGCCTTTGGTCAGAGGTTTTGGAACACCTGTCTTCTGCTGCGTGAAGGAACTCAGCTGAAGAGATCCCTGCTACAGACCCTTCCACTAACCACTGCCATCAGTTGAAACCACAGGGTCACACATGTGACCCTCAAAGCCATAAACACAACATCTGCACATGCTCTAAAAAGCRGATCAGAGAAGGTGCTATGCTAAAAGTTCCTGGAAAAGTTTGAATATGCATAAATGCCTATGAATAGGCATTAAGCTGATGCAATATGACAAGTATTGTTATAAACTCTCCAGACTCCTARTGAAAATGAGCCAAAAAGAGAAAGTTTATTTGAGAATCCAAAAAGCCACAGAGCAAGCGTATACAACAACACAGGACTGCTGGCTGCTTGGCTGCTCGCCAAAACGCCCAGAGAGGCAGTGGGCACTGCCTTTTATGCCCCCCAGYCATAAGCACGTGTATGTTACTTTTCCATAGTTGCCGCCCTGCGCTGTCCCTCCCTGGCGCAGGCGCACTCCTCCTGAGTGTGTTAACTCGTGTTTCCATTGGTCCTGCCCTGGGGCTGCCGCTCTTCTGATTGGTCGAGGCAGTTGCTGTGGCTGTGTCCTCATTGGCTGCAGCCCAAAGTAACTAAACTTCCATGTAACTGTTCCCCTCATTGAAATGCAAGACTGACCTGTCCCAAAAGCAACCCTCTACAATAACTTAAGTACAATTCAAGTCAATATTTACAAAAAAAAAAATCATAAATCCAACATTAAATTATACAATACTGTGAAAGCCAAATTCTACAAAACTTGTTTATTAAATAAAAGTACTTAAAGAGGTCTCCGTCAATACGTGTGCTTTTTGGCAGATTGCCAAGCACCTGGTGCCATATTCTTTGCTTTATTGTTCTGTCCCCTACTGTCCTTTATTAAACTTTTCAATTGTAASAGGACAGTGAACCTCATTTTTTGCAGTATGATTTACGTTCTAGATTAAATGTACAAAAATTGATCTATTAATAAAACTGTATATCCTAGTTGACCCAGGTGATCCAAAAATCCCATGTCTTCCCTAGRTCAATGTATGAAGTTTCTTTATTGTCTCTTTAAAACTCGGCAGCCAGGAAGTAGCACTTCAGTGTTTTAACCTGATTCCCGGAAGGGGCAGTGATCATTTAAAACCAGGGAACGGAGACCCACAACCCCCATTAGTTCTACTTAGGCTTGGGATAGTTTGGCAAGATCTTCACTGCGGGCACCTGCTGAGGAGGGGGAGGGCCTACCCGACTCTGCTGGAGACGCTTCTTCAGACTTCGCTCCATTGCCTGCAGCCACTGCTGCCAGGGCCGCTTACAGCCGCTGCCCAGGAAGTGGCATTCTGCAATCCCCAAATGCCGACAGGATGGCCATCGCTTCGGAGAGCCCCTGCCAGCTGGCATGGAGCGGGCAGCCCCGCAGCAGTGACTCCTTTTTGGACAAAAGCAGCTCTTCAGGTTTTGTTTTGTCCCTGTCCCACATTGGTTGGTTGGTTGGTTGGTTGGTTGGTTGGTTGGTTGGTTGGTTGGTTGGTTGGTTGGTCGGTTGGTTGGTTGGGGGAACGGAGATGGGTGTGGAGCCATGGAGGCTCAATTACCCTGTTGTTGCTTTGTTCTCTCGCTTGGCCACGTAGTCCGGAGGCGGGAGCTTCTCCACCATGTGGTCTTTGCCCTTCAGGCCATTTGGGCCCCTGAGCAGAAGCCGCCTTGGTCTCTGTTCCCTGAGTGAGGGCAACCGTGGCTCAGAACCTTTTGCCTTGTGGTATTGCTGTTGTCTTAGTTATTGCTCTATCTAKTTTAATAAACTCTTATGATACAGGGGACTGAAAGTTACAGGGGAACTGAGAGTTGATTAGTAAGTGCTGGCTAAACTTGATTTTTAACAATCACTTGTTTAGCATTTTGCTGAACTGAGGCAAGGTGGAGGAAAATGTTAGTGTTATTGAATACATATTATAGCGTTTGCTTTCAGAGATACCCAGATGAGTGCTATGTGTACAATGTTGCCTTTTTTGCATAAGTAGTTTAATTATGCAGACACAGTGGTGAAATAATCACTGGTGGGTTTGTTTTTCTTTTGTAACTCAGATACAGTTATAGAATACTTGTGGTTAAACTGAAGTGTTATGACTTGTGACTTAAACATTTCCGTAAAGGACATTTTTCATAYTATAGCAAAACTATACAAAAGCTGCAAGGAAAATCTCCAAAAATCCCTGAATTAGGCCSTGGCGGCAGTGGTCCTTAAAGATAAGAAGCAGCTCAGAGCTGGGGAAAAGGATGCATGCATTCACAAAGATATCACGATGCTYAGCACCTTCGGGGTGGGGAKGCCATCGCCCCAGGGCTATCAACTGCCAGGCCAGCACAGASCCTGACAGCSAAAGGGTGGGGGTGGAAGGAACAGAGGCTTTGGGATGTGTAGTGAAAAGTCTGGTCAGAGCTCATGGAACGTCCACCCTCTGCTGCRCAAAGGGGTCTGGCTGGTGGGACCCCAACTTTCGGATGGGATTATCTGCATGGACAACCCAGGGGCCCCTGCKACGGACACTTCCCTATCAACAACTGTCATCTACTGAAACACGGAACACGGAACAGGGGGCTACACCGGAGGAGGTGCCATGCTAAACAGTTCCTGGAAAAGTTTGAATATGCATAAATGCCTATGAATAGGCATTAAGATGATACAATACAAAATATATTTAAAGATGTCTCTTGTCAATACCAGGGATACCTCTGGCAAACGGCCAAGCACCTGGTGCCCCCTCTGGCACAATATCCTTTTGCTTTCTGTCCCCTATTGTCATTTATTAAACKTTTACATTTTAACAGGAGAGTGAACTTCACATTAGGAGTTTTAAATTTTAACAGGAGAGTTTTTTTCATTAGGCAAGACCAGAGATAAGCAGGATGGGGAGAATGCAGGGCCAAAAGATAAGAGGAACATCTGTGACTTGGTTCCTGTCCCCTGGACCCCTAGACTRGCCAGAGCTGGCCTCAGGACTTGGATTGAAGCCAAGAGATGAGGAGGCACGCGCAAGAAAGCAAGGTCAAAAGTTTAACCCTCGAGGAAGAGTATGGAAGCCCCTTACTCTTATCCTGGAAGACCCCTGCCCACGACCCCCAGGAAGCACTGCGCAAGTGCAATAACTGTTCAAGCTTACTAYAATACAAAGCGGGGAAGGTCATGAATATGTATAGGTGTGTTGCAAAACTTGATGCACATGTAACTTGTAACCTGATACATATACCAAGCTGGATGCCGCTGAGGGGCACGCATGATTTTGGAGGAGTGATCCCCTGTGCATCCGCTAGCGTAATAAACATACCTACTTTATAACCCTTCTGGCTATAGAGTCCTTATTCCACATGTCAGTTACTTTTCACTTACATCTTCTCTCATTTGTCTCTACTTGCTAAYAGAGAGGTTGAGAACTAATTGGAGGTAATTTATTTCAAAGTCTCCATCCTGTAAAATTGTCTTCAACTAGGACATAGTATCAGATGTGTATCATGCATATGAACTCATTTTTCCCAACACTTAATTGGACATGGAGGCTGCTGCTATTGTTTTCTCATTGGTCAGAGCAGGGCCTGTGTATAGCAGTCAAGGATGAACTGCAAGGGTTTTGATAGGGAAGATGTGTGGTAATGTCTTCAATAAACAATTCCATGGGTGAGGGTATAGGTGTTAATGTCTCTACTAACTGCAAGCATCAAGTTTATTACAGAGCCCAGCCAGCCTGACCCTAGAAACTTKGGGGTAAAATGATGGGTTCAAAGGGGAATATGTGGTAGGCAATTCAGGAAGGCTGTACTGTCCTAGAACCTCAGCCAGTGGGGAAAGGAAGAGGGCAACATGTGGCCAGGAATTTAGGATAAAAGGGGGCTACACCCTCTGAAATCCCGAGAGAAAATGCCGCAGGTGTGCATCCCAGTGGATTCTCTCCCTTTATTTGAATAAAGTTGCAGGATTCCTCTGTCTCCTTTGTGGACAGTGGTTTTCCATAGTGTGATTTTTCTGTACATTATTAACATTGTTACGAATATTTTGATCAAATAATCATAATAAAGGGTTAGCTATGATGGTAAGTAGAAAAGGTATAGAAACATCAGGAGTGCTGGTGTTTGGAATGTGTAACTGCAGAAACCTCACCGAGCAATTACTGGACCACTCTGTTTTTGTCAAGAAGCTATGGAGACTGTCCTGCTCACCTGTTAGGCTGCTTGGAAACCCACTATCCTTCTGAGAAAAACAAAGCTCACTCTCCTGTTAGACTTTGAAAAATTTAATAAGGGACAACAGGGGACAAAGGCAATAAAGAAAAAGCGGCAGCACTGGGTGCTTTAGCCAAAAAGCACACCTGCCATTGACAGAGACATCTTAAGTATTTTTTCATATTGCATYAGCTTAATGCCTGTTCATAGGCATTTATGCATATTCAAACTTTTCCCCAAACTAGTTTGCATGTTCCAGGAACTGTTTAGCATTGCTTTTCCTTGGTCCCACCTTTTTAAAGCATGCATATTCTTCCTGCTTGTGGTTTGTCCATTTTCATTATTGTCTCCAGCTTGGGCCTTTTTCYGTGGTTTTTACAGATGACAGTTGTTGACAGTCAAAATGTCCGTAGCAGGGTCTTTGATGGGCCATGACACCCCCTGGTCTGTCCACGTGGATAATCTTGTCCCAGTTGTTGGGGTCCCTTCAGCTGAGCTCCTTTGCACAGCAGAGGAYGGGTGTTTTGCTGCCTCTGACCAGAGGCTTTTCCACTACACACCCAAAGCCTCTTTCCACCCCACCCTTTGGTGTTTGGGTCTGTGCTGGTCCAGCAGCTGCAAGCCCTGGGGTCTCTGCACCCCGAAGGTGCTAAGCCGGATCTCTCTGTGAATGTATCCTTCTCTACRGCTCTGAATCGTTACTTATCTTTGATCAGGCAGTTGATTCAAGGCCTTGGTGGCCCTCTTTGCAGCTTTTGTATAGTTTGCTATAATATGCAAAAAGTCTTTAATGGAAATGTTTAGGTCACAAATTAGAATATTTCAGTTATTGCAAGTTAACCACAAGTACTCTAAAACAACATCAGCTATATTACAACTATGTCTAAGTTACAAAAAAAAACCCAAAACAACTACGTCTGCATAACTAAGCTGCTTCTACAAAAAGGCAACATTATATTATAATGCCCAACACATAGCATCCATCTATGAAAGCCAACACTATCATATGTGTTTATCACACCTTCCCATCTTGATTTTAATAATAAGGATTCCAGACAGTAGACCTCAGGAGAGATGATCGATGATTGTTTTAGAATAAGGATATTGATGTGATGCCTTATCAAGCAGGCTAACCTGAAACAGAAGCCTCACAAATGTAAGAGAATGAGAATAGACAACTTTAATRCAGGCCTAACAGGCYTACTGGTGCATTAGGGCAGACAAAAKCCTCCTCCTGAGGCTACACCCAAAATGGACTCCGAGTCACGAGATCTTCACCTTTTATAAGTTCTGTTTTATTAACATATTGCGCCTCAATCCCCCAATGATATTTTCAGGTGATKATGTCAACCACCCCAAACTTTCTCCCCACAACTTGCTGTTGTTTACATATCTTAGGACTCTCAGGCAGCGAKGTGTCCTTGGATTCAGGCTCAGAGAGGGATTGTTTTGTTTAAAGATGGGAGAATGGTAGTTTTAGTRTTST